ATAAATCTACAATAATGATGTTAATAAATGGTCCTTAAAACTTTGTCTATAAGTATCTAACGCGTGTATATTCTGTGGTGTGGTGGTTGTGGTTAACTCCGCGCCGCTGGCTGCCTGACTGTACGTTTGGTTGGTCAAGAAAGTAATCACAATGCTTCGGAAATGTTTTATCTACCCTGTTAGTGGTTTTCGATTTCTTTTGTATTTGCCAATTTAAATTTAAAAAATGGGTTAATTGTGATAAGTTTATCCTGACAGCATCGCTTAAAATACCGATTTTCTTCTGTGGGGCACGTTCTTTACGGTAAGTACGTACATGCGCACAGCTTGGGTTACTCTTTTACATATAATTTAACCGCCCCGTGTTATGAACTAAGATATATATGGTAAATATGTAGACGCAGGTAGGCGGTACGCAGCGGGTGGCGGGCGGGTCCTTTTGGGGCGTGTTAAGACACGGCCCTCCTCGCCCCCACCGGGCCCGCCAATCACATATCATTAAAAAAATCAGATGAAAGAAGAGGTAGGAGAGAGAGACTGATGAGCAGAGATGAGAGAGAGATGAGTGTGTGTAAGAGGAGGAAGGGAGAGAAAGAGGAAAAAGAGAGGGGAGAGGAGAACAGAAGGGCCCTATTATCCTGTGTTTCGGCAGGCGGTATCTTGTGGAATATATTTTTTTTGAAACCTGTAAAAGTGACCGCAGTTGCACATTTTCGACTCCGAATATGTGAAGAGACGGCGGGGGCTGACCCGAACCAAAGGTAATTAACCCAAGGAATTATGATGACAAATTTCTTACTGGCCAAAATCATGATGACTGTTTAATGAAACACCGACCAAGAAGTAAAATATGATATATATACAGAAAAATGTGCCAAGGAAATGCCGGTATGTTTAGGTCGTTTATTTCTCATTTTTCTTCGTGCAAACTTCTGAGCCACGATCAAGGCCGTGAAAAAAAGCCGCTCCGCTTCCTTGGCAGGCGCTCGGCGCAGTCTAACACGGGCGTATAATCCCGGGAGAATGGGGGGTATGGCATCCGCCTGCCTTGAATGGGGGAAGGGGGGATGGCCTGTACAAATTATCTCCCTTGAGATTCAAAAAAGAGAGAAAAAAAGAAAGAAGGAAGAAGAAGAGGTAAGAGGATCCCGATTTACCGAGAGCAGCGTTTATTCAGGCGTAGGGTTTTAGGTGGCTACAGTTCAATAGGCTGCCGACAGATTCGGGTGCGGGTACCCCGGAGTGCAGTCGGCAGATTCGAGATTGGGCCGCGCGCGGCGGCGGTGGATAACTTGGATTGCACGCAGGCCCAACAACATATTTATGTTCATGGCGGAGACTTGACGTTTGGTTTTACAGTGGCGAATCTTCAGGAAAATTTTGTACGAATCGGGGATGTTGGTATCTTGGGCATTGCTAGGCTTCCGGGAGTGCCGGGTTGAGGCTATCAAACGCCGCAGCTGTTTTATAATAGCCTAGTGGTCAGGGCCGTGAGTGCACGTTTGTCGACTGTCGTGTAGATGGTACGTAGTATGGATCACCGAGTGACGGGTGGATTCACGTGAAACGAACACACACAGCACAAACGAGGGTGGCAGCGCGAGCGAGGCCCGCGGCGCTTGCGCCTCTCTCTGGGTCTCTGCACGGCACGCAGGGGCAAGCGGCACGCACGGCGCCAACCGCGGCACGCACGCACGCCACTGGCCACGCACGGCATCGCAACGGGCACGCACACACGAGGCCACAGCCAGCACAAGCACAGGCACAGGCACAATCACGCACAGCTCTCTCTCTTGGCCTCGGTCTGTCTCTCTCTCCGCTGCTCCCTCATCTCTCTCTCTCTCTCGCCTCGTCTCTCTCTCTCTCCACAGTCGCTCGGAGCGCGCGCGCTTTCCTCTCTCTCTCTCTCTCTCTGTCACATACACAACACAAACACGCACGCACACCCCTCTCTTCTCTACACACGACACGACACCAGGCCACACACACGCACGTACATCCGTCTCTCCTCTCTCTCCTCTCTCCTCTCTCTCTCTGACACATGTACGCACACCCCTACGCAAAGGTCTTATGTAAATTGGTGGTGAGCGTTGATCGAATTCGGCCCGTAAAACCGCCTCGCTTTGCGTACGCGAAATCGTCGCAAATTGTACTAGAATAAACTGCGGTTGCATAAAGTCCGCGAGAGGAAGCAAGCGTCGATTGGCGTACCGTACGCAACACAAGATTTACGGCAAAAAATGACTTTTGCGTAAAACA